TATATTATAACATTTTCATCTTTTACAAATTGTCATACACAGAAAAGTAAATTATTAAAAATGGAATACAAGGGTTTTGCAAAAAAGATTTATTTTTTTTTTTGATCAGCAAAAACAAATCTTATTATATAGAGCACAAGGGGTACTCCTGCCCATATACACTAATTCCAAAAAAGCACTTTATCACAAAAATTTCAAAACCTCAAAATATAACCATCATGCAAACAGAGCAGAAACCGAAGACAAAGAAACAGAACAACAACAAACAATTGTCTCTGCAGCTTGTGTCACAACCTTCCAGCACTCAAAATCCAAACCGTAGTAAAACCACCCACGCCCTTGAGCCAGCGTTACCCTTCCTGATCAACTCTCGTCCAGTCTGCTCGCCATTGCAAATTCCTTGCACTCTTTAGATTCTTGCGATATTGCACAATATTCTCCCTACACTCCCTTGGCCTCAACATCCAATCCGTATATGAAAACACACACCCTGGTTCCTTGTTCTTGAGCCATAAAAAAGATTTTGCTTGAATAGACTCAAATAATTGCTCTTCAGACATACCCTCTTTCCTAAACACATATAAATTCCTCCAATACCAAATAAACCACGCCGTAACCAAAAACATGAGAGCCCCTAAATCCTTCAAAACTCCTCCACTTATCTCAAATACCACTAACTCCACCCAACTAAACACATCATTTGGTAAAACACTCTGAATCTCCCACCACCCCAAAACCTTCATCCATACTAACCATACCCTTTTACACCCACAGAAAATATGATGAAGATGCTCCTCCCCCCCCTGACACAACCCGCATCCCTTATCGCCCCCTGACAACACAATTCCTCTCTTACATAAATTCTCCTTCGTCGCTAACCTATTTAAAAACAGTCTCCACCCAAACACACTCACTTTAGAAGGAACATATCTATTCCAAATCACCTTAGCCCATTTCTCCTCAACAAAACAAGAATTTGGTGTTAGGAACTCATAAGCTGCCTTCACCGAATAACAACCCTCACTACTATGCACCCATTTCCAAACATCCTCCCTACCATTTCGCAACGTAAATCCATTAAGCATTGACCGAAAAATTTGTTCCTCTTCTGCTGCCCTCCCTCTACTTCCACACCGCCACCTACAATCCCAAACCCAATTATCTCCACGCCAACCACCCATATCCTTCACCAACCCTTCCTTCCTTATAGCCAGCACAAACAACCTAGGATATAACTCTTTCAAAGAATTAACCCCCACCCATTTGTCACTCCAAAAATCCACACAACTTCCATCCCCGACTTCCCACTTAAAACCTCTTACTAACATCTTTGAATATTGTTCCGATCTACTACCCAAACACACAATATCCTTCCAAATCCGAGACATATTCAAACACTCAACGGAAGTGACATCCCTCTCCCTCCTACCCCCATAATATTTTCCCCAAATCACCCTCTTCCATAAGCTATCTAAACCATCACCCAGACGAAACCACCATTTCCCCAACAAAGCCCCATTCTTTCTCTCTAAATCAACCACTCCTAGACCCCCCTTCCCCTTCTCCGCACACATACACTCCCAACTAACCCATGGAATCTTTTTAGCCAAACTCACACCACCCCAAAAAAAAATTCCGCTGAATTTTAATCAACTCAACAAGAACAACTTTAGGAATCCTAAATAAAGACAAATAAAAAATAGGGATAGCAGAGAGTACCGAGTTTATTAAGGTAATCCGGCCTCCAAAGGACAGTAATGGGCTTTTCCAAGTGGCAAGCTTTTGATGAAACCGCTCTATTACCGACTTCCAACACCTTTTCCTCCCCGGATTTCCTCCTACTGGCAAACCCAAGTATATAAAAGGCACTTTGCCCACCCCACAGTGTAACATATCTGCAGCCCCTTGTAACCAACCCTCTGAAATATTAAAACCGTACAGATGACTTTTGCTAAAATTTATCTTTAACCCAGAAATCAGTTCAAACCAAAGCAAAATAGCTTTCACAACTCTAACATTTTCTGCATCAGCTGTCCCGATGAACACTGTGTCATCTGCAAATTGTAATAGCGACAACACCACCCCTCCCCTTCCGATCTCTACTCCTCTCAACATCCCTTCACACTCAGCTTTTTTGACCAGTCCACACAAACCTTCTCCAACCAATAAAAACAAAAAAGGAGATAGAGGATCACCTTGACGAAGGCCTTTGGAAACCGAGAATTCCTTCGTTGGACTTCCATTAATTAACACCGATATCCTCGCAGTCGAGAGGCATTCCCGAATCCATTTTCTCCATTTATCCCCAAAGCCCATACTATCCATCATCCAATCGAGAAAACCCCAATCCACACAATCGTAAGCTTTCTCAAAATCAGCTTTAAACATAAAGCTTTGTTGCTTTCTGCTTTTTACCTCATGCACAACCTCATTCAAGATTAACACGCTATCCACCAACTGCCTACCACCCACAAAAGCGGACTGAGAATCACTAATTATGTCTGACATTACCATTTTCAGCCGATTCGCCAGAACCTTGGCCAACAATTTATACAAACACCCCAACAAGCTAATAGGCCTATACTCTTTAAACTGAAGAGGATTCAATTTCTTAGGGATTAATGCAAGGAATGAAGAATTTAAGCCTTTCACTAACCTGCCATGTTGATGAAATTCACACATAAAATTCACGAAATCATCTTTCAAAGAACTCCACGCAAACTTTATGAAATTAAAATTAAACCCATCCGGACCGGGTGCCTTCGAGCCATCACAACTATGAAGTCCTTCTTCAATCTCCTCTATTGAGAAAGGCCTTTCGAGCCACTCCCTCTGTTCAGCTGAAATTCGATGAAACTGAATCCCACCCATCACTGGACGACTCCACTGATCATTCTGAAATAACTGACAAAAATACCTCACTGCCTCCGCCTTTACCATTTCAGGTTCCTCAACCCACCCACCCGCACCTAAGATGCCTGATAATACATTCTGTGCTCATCGAGCATGCACACATCTATGAAAGAAAGCCGTATTGGCACCCCCAAGGCGAACCCAATTGGCTCGCGATTTTTGTCTCCACACCGCTTCTCTTTTCTGTAGTACTTCCCAAACTTCCTGAGAACACACCTTTCGTAACAACACCTCACTCTCATTTAGATCAGTGTCCTCACTTTTTTTATCTAACATCTCAATTTGCTGCAACAAACTCTCATACCTTACCTCCACATTTCCAAACACCTCCTTGTTCCACCTTTTGCATTCCTCCTTTAATAATTGCAGCTTTTTTTGACACTTAAAAGCTGCCCAGCCTTCAATCTGCAAATTTTCCCATTTAGCCACCACAAAATCTCTAAACTCTGGGTGTTGTTGCCATACATCAAGAGCTCGAAACGGCTTAGGGCCCCAATCAACATTTCTTGATTTCAAAATAATAGCACAGTGGTCTGAGATTGAGCGTCGAACCCCAACTTGTGTCCAATCTCTTTCCACCATACTCATCTCCGAAGATAACAAAAATCTGTCAAGTCTACTCATTAAGCTTCCATCAGATCTATACCAAGTAAACTTCCTGTTCAACAATTTAACATCAATAAGACCAGTCCCTTCCACAAACCGATTAAACTCTTCCATATCCTGAGTCTCCCCTAATCTCCCCTTCCTTTCTATTATACTTCGAACAGAGTTAAAATCCCCTGCTAAAAGCCACCTCCCACCCTGATTCGATACTAAACTCCCCATCTCTTCCCACAACAAAACCTTCTCTTTCTTATCACAAGGAGCATACACATTCACCATATTACAACTGAGCTGTTGACTACCCCATTCCCCCGAAATCCCAATAAACCCCTTTCCTTCAAACACCCTCTTTTTCACAAACTCCTCTTGTTCCATATGCACAATAACCCCCCCGAATTTCCTTGTGATTTTTGCATTACCCAATCAAAATCTTCCGAAATCCACAACATCCTGCACAAAGAAACCTCCACCACTTCTAATTTCGTTTCCTGAATGAATAAGAAATCAGGCTTCTCCTTTCTTACTAATTTGTGAACCTCCTTTCTCTTCAAAATACTACCCAACCCCCTCACATTAAAAGAAATAATCTTCATAAATAAAAGCATACCTCACTGCTCCCCCTCCATAATCACCGAAAATCTAATCCCCTCTTAGATTGACAGCATCCCTCTCTTCCAAGGCTGTCATCCTTGAGAATACCTCTGCTTCATTCTGTTGACACTGAACTCCCAACCGTTGCCCCATCTCAAATAATCTGCGCACTTCATCTACCTCCATCTGTTGCCGAATAGCATGGTTTCTATGTTGAATACAACCATCGGACAGAGAAGCTTCCCGCTGCACTTCCTGCCGAGACCCAGCCAGCTGAACTTTTTCCTTTCTTTCCCTTCTGAGCTTTGTTCTCTCTGTAACCCAAGACAACTCTGTTTCTGTCGGTTCCCTCACTCCCCTGCCCCCAGCATATATCTCCTCCACACATTTGTATTTCTTCACCCGATCCCACCGACCATGTTGCGACCCAGCTGGCACCAACATACCACCTTCGGCCAGCTGCAGACCATTCTCAACAAGTTCTGGCCCACGCAAGTTATCCAAACCCGGCCCATTCCCTCCAAGCCCATGTTCCCTAATCAACTCACCCGATCCTTTTTCCGCCAAAACTCCTTGCTCATTTAAACTTCCATTCACGTCAAGAGCCGTTGCTACGCGATCCTCGGCCAAATCAGCGACTTCATCGCCCAGAAATCCGTCCTCATTTAACTCACAATTATTGTAACCGTCGCTGGAAGCTTCTGAATCGGACTCTGTTGCCGGGTTTCGCCGTTCTCCAGCCAGCCACCAATCTGGGTCCATCCGCCACTCCTCCTCCTCCACTGTTACCGGAAAAACTTCACCATCAATCTGCAGCATAACTATGGTTGAAATTTTGGTTTTTTCCGTGCTCAATATCAACACTCTACCTTCACACAAGAAAGATTTGCTCTTTGTATCCTCATCCACAAGAATCACCTCTCCAATTAACCCCCCTAGCTCCGTGAAACATCTGTCACTCCATGCTTTCAAAGGGACCCCTGTCAACCGAAGCCACACCAATCTACTCAATAGAGGCATTGTAGTTAAGCTACTTTGCTGAATCCATTCAAACCAATAATCTATCAACTCCCGATTATCCTTTATGAACTCCTCAAGACATCCTTCTGAATTATCCAGTAAAACTACCTGACGACCCCCTAACAATGCTACTGTAACCCGAACCCCATCAACATTAAATCTGTTCTGTATTTGCTTCACCATATCTAAAGATCTCACCATGGCCCCCCAACTTCGTTTCAGCCATGCCCCCTCCTCCTCCGTAGGGGAAAAATTTAAAACCAAATCAGATTTTGATAGGCATCTCATCGCATCCCTCCCAAATGAGACTGTCTTCATTGACCCGTCATGCCTTGACTCCGGCACCACTTCTGAGACTTTGGCCTTTATGCCATCCTTCGCAATCCTCTTCCCTATTGACTCATTCTCCTTTGATGTCGAAACATGTCGTACATCATTAGCCGAAGAATTTCTATCCTCAACTTCAGCCATATTCCCGGCCACCACCTGTGCATAAGTCACCTTTGGATTCACCTTGTTGTCCCTCTTAATCCATTTCTTCTCAATCTGCGCTTTGTGTCTCACCATTGACCCTTCCTTCCCTCTTTTCATACTGCCTGCCACCTTCACCTTAAGATGGTAGGAACCCAGCCATATCTGATTCAATTTCCTTTCCATTTCTATCACATTTGAAACCTCTGACATGCGAACAAAGCCAAAACGACGCCCTCTTCG